GAAGAAAGAGATAAAGCTGATGGCGATGAAGGATGTGAAGCAGCCACGACAAACACAGTGATGGTTATTAGATGCTCACAAACCAAAAGCAGCAGGGACTCGGTACTCAGCCCCGCAGTACCGGTCACAGCAACATGGGACAAATTGACGCAATAGTCTTCAACCTCTTATTCTTTCCCCCAGCCGCGAGTAAATGCCTTTTTTTGGTTGCTTGTTATCCGGCCGGGGAATCTGTACCGAAACACTTGTACCCAAAGCAGGCCTAGAGACACATGTTCGAGTGAGCGCCTCCTAAAGCAGCCTCACTGCATCAGCAGGGTCATCCAAAACATCCTCCTCAAGAACATCAATTGAGCCCGCGGGTAGACCTAATTTCAAAGAAAAGATAGAAGGGATCAATCAATTTCCTCACATAAAAAGTTGAAACAAGGTAAGTCTGAATTACCATAATTTTTGGCCTTCCACCCATATTTGAGGGACAGTTCTTTCCACGTGCGGGTTTCGGACGTAATGACGTCCAAGATTTTTTGGATCCACTGATCCTAGCCCTCAACCATAGGTGGAACCTATAGAGTTGCTGAAACGAGCGAAGGATAAAGGATCAGTACGGGTATGGAAGAATCCCTAATAAAAGAGATGTGAAATATTAAACAAGAAGCATACGAGTGCGGTTCCACCTTTCCAGAAAGGATGAAGTCGTTGTCGGAATGATGTCGTTGGTGGAAATTGTAACAAACCGTTCAATCCACCCACAGTCGTTGTCATCATCTATGCTAGATAACAGGGCATGGTGGTCACGTTTCCTGAAATTTATCATTTCCCCACGGAAGATTTTTGGGGAATAGAGATTCATCACATGAGCTAAAGATAGCTCCTCTCCCATATCTTGGCACAAGCGCCGAAGACAAGCAATCGTCCTCCACACGGAAGAACTTACTTGTTCCAAACACACCTGATACCGGAGGCAAAACTCCATAATAACGGAGTAAAACTCTCCGCTCAAATAAAACACACCCAAATTAAATGGATACGTGTAAAAATCTGTAAAATCCTCCTTGATAAGCGTCACTCATTCTATTAGATTAGGAGAAAGAATGTCCAAATCATGGCAGCTATAGTCTTCCTTCACAACAGGAATACTGGAAGGACGAATGGAAGAAGAGTATCTGCTAACAGCCCACGTGCGGGGGAGAGCCAAAGGAAATTTGTCTTTGAAGTCTTTTTTTGTAACGAGACTTCTAGGAATGATGGAATTCATCATTCGAGGAGCAGCGTCTTCAGCTTTATTCTTGCCCTTTGAAGAGCTAATGTTCTTCGAAGAAGAAGCCATTTGGATGAAAGGAAAGCTTCTCTATTTGAAGGGAGTTGCAAAAAGGTTAAGTAACAACAAGGAAGATTTTAGAAAGTTTGGAAAGTTATGGAGTATAAGGGGAGAAGGACGTATAAGTAAAAGTTTTGGCGGCCAAATTCATGGCAATGATTACCTCGATAACTGGCTAAAGCTATGTTGAATCGTGGGATGATGTGTGTTTGGGGCATTAAATGCGGAGAGACGTGCGTCTAATCAACCGTCAGAAGCCTTCAGAAGGAATCATAGTAATTCTCGCCAAAACAGGGTTTCTACCAAACAGGGTGGCCACCAAAACTTTATGATTACCTGCATAGTGAGAATCCTAGCACTCTGATTTACAGGTTACCAGTGATTTACAGGTTGACGATTGATAACTATGATTTTCACACGTTTTATACCTATTATTGCCTAAGCTTTGTGCGTGAATTGCCATAAATTAGTCCCAAAATGCTTACAAGTTGCGCTTGATTGCAGGTTTGAACGACAAGATGACAATTATCACAGATCGGCTCGAAAAGGAGTGAAATCTGCCAAGTGTGAAAGTCAAGTGAAGTGAGTATCAAACAGACCCAGCGCGGACCGCACTGCTTTGCCACGCGGCCGCGCTGGAGGTTCAAAGAGTTGGGTTTTTTACTTGTGAGCGCGCGGTCCGTGCTCACCCTGACGCAGTCCGCGCCTGAGGAGCTTTAGAAGGCCATAACATGCAAAGGCAAACCCACGCGGCCGCGTACCAAAACAGTGCGGTCCGTGTGGGTGAGATTCAGAGACTTGTCATTTTGGCCAATTTCTCCACGCGGTCGCGCCCCATTTCTGCGCGGTCCGCGCTCCTCAGTCAGCGCGGCCACGCTACCTTTTTGCGCGGTCCGCGCCCCCAGCTTCAGAGTGAAAAATTGAAGACCATGACCCTACGCGGCCGCGCTGCATTTCTGCGCGGTCCGCGCCAGCCCCGCAAGGGCATTTTTGTCCAGTTTTTCTAGCCTAGTATAAATAGAATATTTTACCAATTTCCAGTGAAGTTTTTGTATCAGATATAGCTGCTGCACTCGTGAGACTCAAGTTTTAGCCTATTTTGGGCAATTTCATCTTGTTTTGTCGTGGTTTAACATTGTAGTTAATTAATATGTTGATTTCATCTATTATTTCTTCAATTTCTGCTCCTTTCATGTCTAGCTAAACCCATTAGCTAGGGTTGTGGCTCAACCCTAGTGTGGGTAATTAATGGATGTGATTGTGTAATGCTTGAATGATGTTGGGTGTTTGCTATTTGGGTTAATTTTATTGTTTAATTAGGATTTGGTGGTTGCAAACACTAAGTCTAGCTTAGTGGGTCTTGACTCTTCTTGAGAAAGAGTGTCTATGACTCCAAAATTGACCCAACAAGGAATTGGGATGGACCCATGAGAATGGTAGTCCCAATTAACGGGTTAAACTTCGAGAGAGTAATTACCCAACTTGAACCCTAAGTTGCTTGGGCATATTGGCCTACCCAATTGGTCTCGAGAGAGTCAATTGGGCAAAATCACTCTCTCTACCGAGAGGTGTGAGAGTGAGTGCAATCGTGCAACGGTTATAGCATAAGCCCTATAATCATCATTCTTGTATTAGGAATCTCTACCCGTTAGTTGACCACCTAGGTAAATGCCATGGCCCTAGTGCTTGTCTCTATCTTGCATACAAACTAGAATCAATATCTTAGCATAATTTAGTTCTAATTAGTAGTTGTTAAATTGTAGTTGATAAATACAACAACCCAATAATGGTAGAAGTACAATTAGAAGCTAAAACACATCTCTAGACTCAACAAATACTCAACTCCCTTTTCTAGCTCCCTGTGGAAATTGACCCCGATACCACTATTGGGTAAAAGTATTAGCGCCCACTCTTCCTAAGGTTGAGTCCGCTGCGATCACTTTTTGGCGCCGTTGCCGGGGAGCTTACGGTGTTGACTATTTGCGTAGCTAGTTTTGTGTTTTGCTTCTCTTTCCTTCTTTTTACTAAAGTTATTTGTGTCGATCCATCAGGTACACGTGGCTCTAAACGGGAATGACCCTCTTGACAACGTGGTCGTGGGGGAGGAGGTTGATGATGTTGAACAAGAGGAGCTCCAGGTACCACAAGTACCACGGAGAGGTAGAAATGCTAATGCAAATCCTAATGATCAAATCCCAGACCCTCCTCCGCCTCCACAAAGAGTAGCTCCAAGGGTCCTTCCGAAGCAGGGTTATGCAAGTGCCATAGTTCCTCCCCGAATTCGGGCAGGGAATTTTCAAATCACCAATGTTATGTTGACACTTCGCGAGCAAAGAGGGTATTTTACGGGCGCCTCCGACCAAAATGCATACAAGCACTTGAGGGGGTTCGTAGATACTTGCTGGGGGAGTAAACAAACCAATGTGTCCGAAGATGCTTTGAGATTGAGGCTTTTCCCGTTCTCTCTTCGGGGGAAAGCATTGGATTGGTTGGAAAGGTTACCGAATCATTCAATTACAACGTGGGATGAATTGGCGGACAAGTTCATTGCCAAGTTTTTTCTCCAAGTCAAATGGTGGCGCTCCGTGATGAGATTTTGGCTTTCAAACAAGAGCCAACGGAACCTTTGCATGAAATATGGGAGAGATTTAGAACTATGGTCAAAGAGTGTCCAAATAATGATATGAATGATGTGATGATTCAACAAACGTTCTATAGAGGCATCAACACAACAAACCAATGTATTGTGAACCAATTGGCAGGTGGAAATTTTATGAAGCTCCCGTACAATGAAGCTTGTGATGTGTTAGATGAAATGGCCGATACTTCTTCGCCATGGCAAAGTCGGGCAAACGTTCCTCAAGGTGATCCTAATGTCATACATTTGCATAAGGAGTTGCATGACCACGGCCAAGCCATTGCCGAACTTACAACAACAATGAACCAATTGGCGAAGGCGCAATTGCAACAAGTTCAAAACCCGCGCCAAGTCAATGCTATGGAAGGAGTGAATATGATGAAAAGAAGGCAAAGAGGGCAACAACCTCAACGGAATTGTGACAATTATGATGATGGTAGTGGTTATTCAAACGAGTGCTATGATGAGCAAAGTGAGGATTGTCAATATGTTAACAACTACCAAGGAAATAGAGGAAACCAAGGCAACCAACAATGGCGATCTCAAGGGAATTTGAATAATCAACAAGGAGGTGGAAATTGGAATAACAATAATCAACAACAAGGCGGTGGAAATTGGAATGGGAATAACCAAAACAACAATTGGGGGAATCAAGGTAACAACAGTGGAAATTGGAGTGGAAACAACAACAATTGGAACAACAACAATGGTCAAGGGGGGTGGAACAACAATGGTGGTCAAGGTAATCGGGGGCAAGGCTTTCAAAGGGCCCCGATGTTTCAACAACTAAACAAACCACCACCGTTTCAATCTCAAGGGTCGAGTTCTTCGGGCAATGAATTTGGGAGAATTGAGGTTATGTTTGAACAAATGATGAAGAAGAACCAAGACTCGGATGCGCAATTGGCTTCACACAACACTTCCATCCGTAACTTGGAGGTGCAACTTGGTTAAATTTCACAATCCTTAAATACTCGCCCAAAGGGTGCTCTACCTAGTGACACGGTAGTAAACCCTAAGGGTGGGCACAACAACCATGTGATGGCGGTGACCACGCGGAGTGGACGAGGCGGTGATGTGCATGCCTCAAGAGAGAATCAAGTCATGGTGGATGAAGATGAGTTGCCTAATGATGATATGCCTACGGGGGTTGATGATGTGGTGGAACCAAGTGCAAGAAATAAAGTGCGAATTGACATTCATGAGGTTGAGGAGGAGACACAAGAGAACGTGAACCCGTCTAGGGAACATGTAATAGATATGCCCGAGCCGGAGGTGCCAAAAGCCAAGGCACCCTTGCCTAGGCCTCCTCCGCCCTACCCTCAACATTTGGCCAAGCAAAAAGGCGATAACCAATTTAAGAAATTCATTGAGATGATGAAGAGTTTGACTATCAATGTGCCTTTGGTGGAGGCACTCGAGCAAATGCCGGGGTATGCGAAATTCATGAAAGAGTTGGTCACTAAGAAGAGGTCCATGTATTTTGAGACAATACCTATGACGCATCAAGTGAGTTCAATTGTGCATTCCATGGCCCCGAGGCAAGAAGATCCCGGAGTTTTCACTATCCCATGCACCATTGGAAGTGCCAACTTTGCAAAAGCCCTTTGTGACTTAGGGGCAAGTATAAACTTGATGCCATATTCAGTCTTTAAAACCTTGGGAATTGGTCAACCACGAGCAACCTCGATGAGGCTTCAAATGGCAGACCGGTCAATGAAGAGACCGTTGGGTATAATTGTTGACGTCCTTGTGCGAGTAGATAAATTCATTTTGCCGGCTGATTTCGTCATTTTGGATTGTGAGGTGGAGTTTGAAGTCCCAATTATCCTTGGTAGACCTTTCCTAGCTACGGGGAAGGCTTTGGTCGATGTCGAGGCGGGAGAGATGACCTTCCGTGTTGGTGATGAAAAGGTGGTTTTCCCGGTGTGCAAGTCCATGAAGCAACCTAATAGCACTGAGGTGTGTTCCTTTGTTGACATTGTCACGTCAGTGATAATGGATGATACAAGTTCTATGATTAACATTGAAGATCCACTTGTGTCCGCACCTCTAGACAGGGAGATGAATGATGATTAAAGTAGGGTGATGTGCATTGCTGTTTTGCATGCCATGGAATTGTGTGAACCCAGTAAGTTGTCATTGGACCTTGATGAATGGGAGACTC